TTGAATACTAAATACTCTGGCCATATAAATATATAAATATATATATATATACATAAATAAAGAAAAAAGTATCTTCCAAGTCGCTACTATTTCTATGAACACAACTGTATAGCCAACATTGTCAACTTGCAGCTACTTCAAAGTCTATCCTGGCAATCGATAAACAGAGACAACAGCGAAAACTAGCTGCGAAAGCTGTGTGAACTTTGCAGCTGAACTTTGCTCGCAAGCAAACGAGCAGCAGCAGCAGCAGCAGCAGCAACTTGAACTTTGCTTACACAACAATTGTGCGACTGGGTCATTGGGTGGCTCATAACTTGGCCAAAATAAAGACATACTTTCATAATAATTAGCCATTTCCCAATTATGCGGCAACAGTGCGTATGCGTAATGCACGACTCATTAGCTGTGGGCACGCAATGCGCATACGCCATGTGGGACACAGCTATATATGCGCCATTTCCGTTGCTGCTGATAATGATGACGAGATCTAACCAAACTTGAAGATTTCAAGCTCCAATGGCCATGAGAGAGAGAGCGCGGGAACGGGAGAGTGAGCGAGCTAAAGGTCAGCTTGATTTGTTTATAAATAAAGCTCGCATGCCGCTAATTATTGCCAGTTTTAGAGTTGAATTGAACAGCAATTGCGGCTAGTATTTATGACTGCCGCAGCCGTCAATCAACTTTAATACTTGTACTAGACATATTTGCGAAATGCGCTGATAAGCAGACCTATTGAGAAGCCTCTTCGTGGCATTGAATCACAACTCAGGCACTCGCCGTGCTCTTCAGCTCTGTCTGTGTGAGATTTCACATTCTTTGCAGCTAGACAACACCCATTTGTTTACGATGACGTCCTCTCAATTGAAAACAAATATTCAAAGCTCGTTCAAATGACATCAGCACGTGTGCTTCGGCTACAATTCATATGAATTTTGTTGACCCATTCGGTAAAAGAACGCTAATGGCGCTAACGTTTACTGATAAACTTTCGCAGATAAGATAGAGTCTGGCAGAGTCTTTAGTGTATGATATCAGGCCTAGTTCTTTTAGATATTGGCTGGATTGTCATCTGTAAGGCACTTACCATTCGCATCACGTTATTGGCTAATCAATTAATATAAATTGCTAACACTTTGAGCACTTCACTCTGGGGTGGCCTTGCCGGTTGGCTCTGCGGTCAGCCATATCGTCTTACTGAATCTCTATTTTTAGAGGCCAAAGAATTCGCAGTTCGCAATTCGCAATTCGCTTGTGCACTTAATGAGCTAAAGTAGCTAAAGGGCTCTGCAATGAATTTGCTGCACTCGCTAGACCTTAACGGGCCAGATCAGCAGCTGTTCTTGTTCTCATTATTTAATTACTGCGCCATATTCAGATGGCGTAATGAGTGATCGCAACTCCATGAGAGCTCCAGCCCCAGCTGCAGCCCATTAAAACAGTTGCTTATGACCTGCCTAGCGGTTTTTCGCGCAATTAAAAACGGGAAACACGAACCATGGAGCTCGTGTCTCTTGCCAACTTGTTGCAGATCCTCAACTGTTCATAAAACATTTCATTTAATTAAAATTGCAAGAAATTTTATTATGTCAATTTCAGGTTCGTGAACATATCTAAAATTGAAATTATTAAATTTGCCACAATTTGTACATTATTTATATTATATTATATGAAATTATAATTCATTTATTAAATGTGTTCAGGAGTTTTTTGGTTTCGTTTTTAATTTTTTAAAATGATTTTTATTCTAAAGCTGCTTAAACCTTACTTATACAACTGTTTTTGACCCTCTAAAAATTTGCAAACATTTTTAAAATTTATTTATTCATATTTATCAAACATTTTTAAAATTTATTTATTCATATTTATCAAACATTTTTAAAATTTATTTATTCATATATATCAAACATTTTTAAAATTTATTTATTAATATTTATCTATTTGAAACCTACAATTTGCTATTTTATTTAATGTAATTAATTAGCAAACGTTTATTAAATTCCAATTCATCTACAAGATATTTTCTACCCTTTAAAATTGTCAAAATTAGTTTTATTTTAATTTATGCCAATTAATTAATATTTACATAAATATTTAAAATTTATTAAATTATAAATTTACAAATTATATAAATTATTAAATTATTTATACTCAATTTATTTAAGATTTTTTTTCTTGTTTTTCTTTTTTTTTTTTAATTTGGCAAAAAAGTTTAACAATTTAGCATTCATTCATGCATTCTCTCATTGAATCCCAAATGTTTATATATAATTTAATTAAATGTAAATCTAATGCATATTAGTTCTGTTTAAGAATTGCCTTTTTGTTTTTAAAATTTGACAAAAATGCATAAAATGTAATTATTTTGCCATTTACCTATTCATTCTCTTTTACAAACTTAACTCTATTCACATTTCTCTGTTTAAATGTTCATTTCTGGGCTGTATATTTATATAATATATATATATATATATACTTATATTTACATATATATGTTGCTGATGAATTGGGAAAAATCTGGTGGCATCGCACCGCCGGCGTTTCCCTAACAAACAATGAAGAACATTTGTTCATTGTTAACACTTGTAAATTCTGTTGGCAGCAGTTTGCGCGAGCAGCGGCACAGTGGGCCGCACAGCTCCGTTGTTGTTGTTAAAAAATTTGATAATTGCTGAGTAAACTTATTTAATATATTTTTTTATTATTTTTAATTTAAAAAATAATATATAAAAATATATAAAATTAAGAGTAAAACAAATAAAAATATAAAAATTGATATTTCTGTCAGTGCTTTGCCCCACTGTGCTACAACGCTCAGCAGCGAAAGATGCGTTCGGTATTTTCATTCTTCACTTGTTTGGCGTTGCCTTTTTTCTGTTTTGCTTTTGTTCTATGCTTAAAATATCCACGAATACTTGTTGCTCTCGCAAGAGCTGCCCGCCCCTCGTGGCACAGTGGGGTCAATAGACGAGCCGTTAAGTCAAAGTCAACGGCGCAGTAAGAGCAGCCAAGCAGACGTATATGCAAGTGTACACATACGTGTGTACAGCGGTGTATTTATATTGCACATATATATGGTTCTATATGTATGCAAAAGTATCTCTGATTTTCCATTCGGAAGCTATTCGCAAATGACATGAATCAGATTCCAGGCGCAGCTATAGATATATATCTTTGTGGCACTTGCCGAACAAACAGCTAATGGCCAATGGGTCGATTCGTTAGCCAAGATATTCAACAACTGGCAATTGTTTAAACATTAACTGCAACGTGTGCCAAATAAGCGCTCAGCTTGCGCCAGCCTCGGCCTGCCTGGGCTTGAATTGAATTTGCATTTCACAATATTATTAATTGATTATTTGATTCAATGTTGCAGCTTTAATAGAAAGCGCCTTAAAGGGCTGGCAATTAGGAATTGCTGCTTTGCTTTGCTACCAAAGAAGTCTTACGTCATTTCTTTTTGTGTTTGCCGAATGTGAACTTATGTATGTATTTATTTATTTACATACAATAGGCGCATGCTAATTCTACTCCTTTAAGAGCATTATGATTTTGTCATTCATTTTGTGACGCAGAAAAATTTGAGCGAAAAAAGATTTTTTCTTTTTCCATAAATTTTTATTTGACCCATTAAGAGCAAGCGCAAAAGAAATGGCAGTAAGTGAGAAACTTGATGAGATATTCTATTGATTATGATTTCATGTGGAAGCTGCATTAATGCCATTTTGTATGATATATGCAGATTTTCCAATAGTCTTTTCAGCATTGCTCTTAGCGCTTCAGACTCAATGCTGCATGACTCTGTGCCAGATTGACTTGACAGGGTTTTTTTGAAGACTGATTATAGAAGACACAAATGTTTATAGCAAAACTCTATCTGTATGTTAGCTTAAGTTACAAAAGACTTCTGAGACTGTCAACGCTTTTAGCTGTGCAACGCACTGAAGTCAAATTGATAATCGAAATTTATATCAAATTTGGTTCAACCAAACATTAATATTTATTAAATATTTACACATGCTGAGCAAACATAAAACAATACTCAATCAAATGGCAAATACAACTTAACATTTCCACAGCTAAATGTTATCGATAACTTAAACAGTTGCCGAAATATCGTTATCTCAAATGTTATCGCTCTTGTTTGGTCAGCTTATGTGGCTGTTAGCGCATTCAGCATTCGGCGCTTTGCAGCTAAACTTGTTTTATTTTTCTTAATTTTTGTTTTGTTTTGTTGTTTCCTTCGTTCTTCGAGCACGTCGCGACCTCAAAAAGTTATGACGTCAATAGTTGCCTGCCTTCTGCTCCAGTGCGAGGCATTCTCTGTGTCTCTGCATCTCTCTCTCGCTCTCTTCCTTTCTCTCTCTCTCTCTCTCTCTCTCTCTCTCTGTCTCGCTGGCTAGCTCTGTGCGTCGGCGCATTAATAGCTTTGCCACCTTAATTCCCGATGTGGGATACACACGTTGGGGGCCTGCGAATTGTGTTCAGTTTCATTTCGGTTCGGTTTTAGAACAAAACGTTTTTCATTTGAGTTTTCTTCCTCCTTATTTGACGTGCTTTTTGCCTTATTCTTTTTGCCAAATATATAAAATTGATATACAAATAAATAAAAAATAAATATTTTGCTTAATTTTTATTCAGTTTCGAGTGCGTTTTTGTGAAACATTTAAATAATTTTCCGTTTTAGCTGTGAGTGGAAAGCTTTTTCATATTTTCTAATGAAAAAATGTTGAAAGTTCTATAAATAGAACATGGCTATACTGGCTATAGAGATCGCCGAGATCGTCGAGATCCCCGAGCCAGTGGCGCTTGTTGTTGCATACACAAACACACGCACACACACACACACACACTTGTGTGTATATAGCCAACTATACATATGTGGGCCAACTGTTTCGAATTACTAACTGATCCACTTCGAATTTCAGACTGTGTAATCATAACGATGCCGTCGACCCGCTGGACCTGCGCCATGCTCTGCTAAACTATGGACCTAGCAGATCAAATCGATGACTATATTTGTTCATTCGAGGGACTTGGCGACTTAACAATGGACTCCTTAGCAATGTTCATATTCTTGTGGGCCGTGCTGGCCCTCTTCTCCGTTTGGCTGTGCAAGCTGCTCTACCACAAGTATCTCAATAAGGGCGCCAATGCCGCCGCCGTCTCCAGTGCCGGCAACAGTCGGCAGAGCAGCGTTGCTCCAGGCGGCGCCGCGAAGACGGAGAAGCGACTGTCTGAGCCACGCGATCTGCTGGCCACCAAGAGTAAAGTAGAAGATTTATCCAAGCCACTGACCGGCGGCGGCGGCGCTGGGTCAGCGGGACGCGGACGTTCCACAGCCTCGCCGATGGGCGGCGCTGCAGCCGGACCGCGTCGCCGTGTCGTGCGCCAGAGCTCCACGGGGCCAGAGAATCGCAAAAAGCGCTACGTGCCGCCGCCCTCAAATGTGGTTGGACCAGAAACGGTAGGTGAAGTCACGGCTGCCGCTGATCTCAGACGCCATTCAAATGTTTCCCTTGCAGAGCTCCGTCACATGGACCAGCCAAGTGTTCCGCTGGCTGTACAGCGATCTAGTTATAGTCAACGAACTGCTCATGTCCTGGGTGATAGCGATAAACGACACGCTGCGCAAATCCGTCGAGGAGGTGAGTACAGTGACATCAGCCGCGCCAGCTTTGACATCATCGACGTCGTCGCGCTGTGATGTCATTGGGATGGCTTTGCTCTCCCCCAGTTTGAGAGCGTGCATTGAACCCTGTTCTGGTTACGTGGCCTCGACTTTCAACTTGAAATCACAAAAAAAAAAACAAACTTTGTTTAGCCTTTTACTTGGCTAAGCTCAGTCGCTCAGCCAGTCAGCCGTAACCGGCGTAGAAACGCGTTTTGAGCGCACAGCTTGCGTCGCTTTTTGTTTTCTTTATCGACGTCGCTCCCCGAACGTAGGCCAAGGTCAGCATTTTATTTGTGAGTTGTGCGTTTTATAATGTTAGTCACTCACTCGCAGCCTTATGACTGCTCTGCCTCTGCTGTATTCCGCTCACATTCGCCTGAGCTACTTCTTTAAAAGCGTCGCTTACGTAATGTCGCTAAAACCAGAAACAGCCTGAAACAGGTTTCCAGAGCGCGGGGCAGCCGCTAAGGTTAGCATTAACAGCACATCAAGGCTGCATCCTTCGGGCTTCAGATTGCGAGTGATTATTATATGCTCCCATAAAACATTAAATATGATTATATCTTATACTATATTTCAGTATAATAATCATATATTGCTTCTTTTAACTTATCGATAACGGCAACTTTTGAAAGTCCATTAATATTTATAGTAGTCATCTATTTTAAGACCTTTTATTAGCCGACTTTTTACTTGTAGGCTATAAAGTTATATGAGTAAACTGAGTAAACTGTGGCATATTGATTAGATACCCAACAAACCGATAAATATTGACAAGCGTCATCGATTCTATGGCAAGATTACATTGCTTATTGCTACATTATATCTTTCAAGCTGTATTTAAGTTGACACAGTTAAATTTTCATTTAAAGTTATCGATAACAAGTAAGCATCGATCAATATCGATATGCATTATATGTTCTATAAGTATACATAGCTAGATTATAGCTTGAGATGATACAATTATTTATAATATATCGATAAAAATATCGATAAATGTAGATAAATATCGATACATAGCAAGAGTTTTATGAAAATATCTGCTAAAGCAGAGCCTTGTGCTCTAATACAGCTAGTGCAGATTCTTTTACATATAAAGTTATCGATTAAAGTCTAATCGATAATCGATTAATTAAACAAGCAAAAATAGTTGCATAAAAGTGTTTAAGTTTTACAAGGAAATACAACCGTTAAGCTTATCAAGTCGTGTAAGAAATCGATAGACATTGTTGTAACTGTGATATTCAAAGTTATCGATAACATTCCATTTCCATTTCCAGCATGGCGTAGCAGTTGAGGTGGTGCGCGTACTGCCCGACAGTCCAGCGCCGGCCCTAAACAACATATTTTGCAATTGCGAGGAGCAGAATCCCGCTGAAATGGTGAGTGGAGGGCGCATAATAAATTGTCTGTCCATGCTAATTGGGGTCTTACTCCTTGCAGCTCATCACCTTCGACTGCGATGCGATGCCTGTGCTGCAGGTGAAGACGTTCAGGCAGAAGTCGGGCAAGGTGGAGACCTCGCATTACAAGGTCACCGTGTCGCGATTCCGTGCACGCATGTCCATACCCATCAACTACAATACGCTGAAGGGTGAGATGCGTGTCGACGGCTATCCGGACGTAAGTGCTATATGAAGATATATATATATATATATATAACTGTATTGTGTTTTGGCAACGTTGAACTAACTTTGATTGCATTCTGTACAGGTGCGCATTGCCATGAACAGTGTGGGCGCCATCAAGGCCATGGATCAGGATGAGCAGCAGCTGCAGACGGTCATCAGTGACATATTGACGACGGCGCTGCGTGACACCGTCTATCCGGTTGACTTCTCCATCTACTCGACCTGCCCGCGCGCCGAAGTGGAGCCCTTGGACTTGCCCGTAATCTATCCCGTGCACTATGATTCGCTGGCGGTGAGAGCGTGTAGAGGGCAGTGAGAAGCGTGTTCTGTGTTGCGTGTTCTTCTCGTCTATTCAGTTTCCTCTAGCGCATTACACAGACGACTGACTGTACAGTGTTGTCTCCCACTAAACTCTCCAACACCACACAGACAATGAAAGACAACACTTCTCATTGTTCTAACGCCAACACCAAAGAACACACAATCTTGTATCTATCCACAAGTTACCCGATTGTCCACTGTTCACGTTCTGTTTATGAAATTCGCCTTTTCTGTCTCTGTTGACCATTCACGCGGGCTCAAGTTAAAGTTTTCTCTCTCTCTCTCTCTCTCTCTTTTGCGCTCTCTCTTTTCAGGGCAATCAATACTTTCAATATTATTACAATTACTAAATATATATATATATATAAATCCCTTAAGTTCCCCTCCGATTCGATCAAAGGCGAATTTCATAAGCTTCAGCTTCAGCTCTAAGTTTCTCTCTCTCTCTTTCTCTTTGAGTCAATTCAAGTCTGTTAATTCATTCATTATCACTCGCTCACTTGCATGCTCGGCCCACACACAGCACAACATGGAGCATCTGGGCTCTGGCATGCTGCGCGACTCCCAGCACATGGTATCCGGTCGTCGACTGCTCGTGAAGATCGTCAAAGGCGACGGACTAAAAGATGCCCACGAGCCATACGTGGTCATCGAGATGGATGAGCCGGCGCAGAAGAACCAGACGGGCACTCAGCGAGGCAGCAAACCCTACTGGGATGAGCATTTCCTATTGTAGGTCCATCATGCTGATCTTCAAATATGTTCCTTACTTATTCCTCTGCTCGTCTTTTCAGCGAACTCTCCCCGCAGTCGGCTGAAATACTCTTTGAAGTCTATGACCATCCAGTGATTGCATCGGATCCGCCCAAGTTCCTTGGCCTCGGCCTCGTCGGCATTGACGAGCTGGCCGTGGGGCCCGCCTCCAGCCAGGTGCTGCAACTGCAGCCACGCCCCTACGAAACGCAGCCCGTTGCGGGCGCCATAACCGTCGACTTTGTCTTCATCGAGGGCGCCGAGATTCCAGCCAACGCGCGTCCCAACCGCCTGAAGGAAGCCCTGCGCCTGAGCACGCCTGCCATCAACGAGCACATACGCAACGGCGCCGATCTGGCTGATGCAGCGGTCCGTGCTCTGCAGGATGGCACACTCGCCGGCTCCAGCGCCGGCGGCCAGCCCAGCAAGAGCACCCTGATCATACACAGCGTGCAACGGGTGAGTCATCGCCTTTCGCAGCTCCGCCCAGATCTGTCATTTCTTTAGTTCTCTCTTTTCCTTTTATAATTTATAACTTTTCCGTTTTGGCCATTTCTTTTCTTTTCATTTCATTTCCCGCAGAACTCGACCAATCCACATGCATTTAAGGTAACTTCTGCGCCCGTCTTCAGCCCGGTTTTTAAGTTTCTTTTGCTCTATTTTTTTTTTTTTTTTGAGTTGAGACTTTCCATCTCTTAATTATGTGCTAATCAGCCATCCAGAGGCGTACATCCATTCATACATATGTAGCGTCCAAGTTGAGCTAATCTGAAAAAATGTTTCTCGTTCTGTTTATTGATCGTTTTGCCTAACCCCGCGCTTATCTAACCCAACACCAAATCGCCGCCGGTCGCCAGGTCGAGTTGAACAAAGATGGCCAGCTCGAGGTGACCGAAAAAGCATCGCCCACTGAGCTCGACCAGGCCGTGGCCCAGGCATTCGAGCGGGCTGCCAATGAGGCGGCCAGCTCGACCTCGATCGATCTGGTGGATAGTCCAGCCAGCGAGTCGCCCAATACGTCAGGTAACACAGGTAACACCAACGAGGAGTCCACAGCCGAGGTGAGTAGCACGTGAGAGTTGACCAAAGTCATTTCTATTTGCAAAAGGCATGGCATGCGCACCTTAGTTCAGTTCAGCCTTCTCGTCGGGGCCAGCTTCAATTCTAAACACGCTTCCTTCCGCAGTTTGGCCAGCCGAATGCCGCCTCCTCGCCGAATGGCAGCGGCTATCACAACAACTACAGCTTAAATGGCACAAACAATCTCACCGGCCAGTCCAATGGCAGCGGCAGCGCCTACAACTCGAACAGTTTGCCTCGCAATGGCGCCTCTACGCCGTACTCGAGCGTGCAGCAGCAGCAGCAGCAGCAGTCGGGCTTGGATCTGGATGATCGTGGTCGCAGCAAAAAACGTAATTTCTTTGGCACCCTCAAGAAGCGTCTCAGTCGTTCTAAAACCCGCACCCTATCGGCCGATCAGCCCAATAACAACAACCATAATTCACAATCAGCCAACAATACAACAACAAGAGCCACAGGACTCACTCGAACAGCCACTGGAACCCTCAATGGTGAATCTTCCCGTTCATTATCTGTCGATCGTGCCACTCTGTCTAAAAGCAATTCACTTGGTAATTACCCCAAAGTCCATTTCACAACATCACGCACACACACACATGCATATACACACCCACGCACACACACACTCAGCTCACTAATGAACATTGACATTAGATCGTATCTAACTTTGGCACTAAAGCATGTTTATCAAGTGTGGAAAAACGTTTGAAAATGTTTTCAAAAATTCCATAAAGCATGTATATGATTTAAATATTTTTAAACTTAGTGTAGGCTTAATTAATGAGCCAAATCGCATAAAAAACCTATAGAAAAGTAACAAAATTTTAAAATTTTAAACACAAAAAATATATTTAAAATATATAAAAATAATTAATGATGAAACGGCATAGAAAATGCAAGAAAAACTAAATTGAATATTTAAAAAATTTAAAAAATAAATAATTGAAAGTAAACACAGTTAAATAAATATTAAAATATTATTGGTTAAATATATGTGATATTAATTATTATCTTATTTAAATATTTTTATCAATTTTGCATTTTGAGTCATTTGCAAATTTTTAGCAAAATAACAATGAAAGCATTTTTTTATAATAAATAGAAAATAAAAACAAAATCTTATAAAATATTAAAAAAATGTCATAGTTATTAGTAAAGTATTCAATTAATTTATTCAAAAAGGAAATACTAAAAAATACTTCTAAATGTATATAAAATAATAGTAATATTATCAAGCTATAGAATCAATGTATATATGGTTTCTCATGAGCATAAAAAGACTTTTAGTAATATATATAATATAATAATAATAATATCTTTAATATATAATATTATATTATGTGTATTACTAGCAGACAAAATATAGTTAGATTTTCAGTAGAGTTTCGCCTCATCTGATATTAATTTCGTAGCATATTCAAAGACTCTAAGTATCATCTATATATCTCATATCTATCTATCACATATCATATATATATATATCTCCTAGTCGTTATTATGTTATGTCCTTTAACTGTACTTTATTCTACTTCTCTCTCCCTTTTTCGAATAACGCTAACGCAAACTGTTTCCCGCACCTTAACATAAAAATTTGTATGTATCTTGTCTTCAATACCTTCAATGTATCTAATATGTGTCTTACACACACACACACACACACACACACACACACACACACCTGTTTATTTATAAATTATTTCCCTTATTTAAAATTTTTTGTTCACTTGGTTTAAATTATGTTTTTTTATATTTATTTATTTTCATATATATTTGGGTGTATTCGGGTGTTTGGTGTGTGTGGATCTCATTATATCTATAAATATATATAACCGCAACAATAACAACACAACAACAACAACAACAACAACTTGCAATTGAAGGACCCCGCATGGGCATTGGCACCTCCATCACCGACCACTCACGACGCTCTTCAATTTCAGAATCCTCAGCCATCTCCGGGTTCTCCTCGGCAAGCAACAAGACCTACGTGCACGAGGCATCCACCTTGGTCCTGGAAACTGTGGAGAATGGCGTTAAGCGGTTAGCATTAACACAATTCTAGATTTAACTAGAGAATCTATGTAGAAGGCCGATTTGTCCATTCGTCCTTTGGCGTGAATACAACAAACTCAAAAAGAAGAATAGTTTACTCAGTTTCTGTTCTATAATGCGCAAATCAAGCCTTCAAATTATCGATAGCTTTTTAAGTACCCTTACCTCGATTAAAATCGATTTTATGCTCAAGAGCATTTGCTTTCTGGATTCTGCTCAAGTATCAGCATATCTCCAAGTCGGATACTCCCGACTAAAGTTCATTTCCTAATTGTGATTGATTTATTAATTGTTTTAAATCTGCTTCCAGGCATTTCATTGTGCCACTGGCCATTGCACAGAGGCCTCGCTGGCGTCGCAAGGGCACCAAACTGCACATCTACAACGATCACACCTTCATAGCCAAGCATCTGAGCGGGTAAGTCAAGGAGAGAGTGAGAGAGGAGTGCGTATCGGAGTGGAGTAAGCGAGATAGTGTGAAAGGAGAGAGAGGGAAAGATGAGTATAAAAGAGCGGTCTAATAACGGGAAGTGATAAAAGACAGAGGCAGAGAGATAGAGAGAGTACTTTTACTCTAAATAAAGTAAATAAAGTAGTGGGAGAGCGGAGCAAAAAAGAGAGAGACGAATTAGGAAGACAAAAGTGGGAGGGAGAGAGTAGACAATTAAAGACTAGCGAAAACAGTGATTAGAGTTAAAAAGAGAGCGGAATGAGAGAGATTAAAGTGAGAGAGTAACAGAGATGACTTAGAGAGTATCCATCTGTAAGCTTCCTGCTCTGACGTAACATCTTTTCCTTTTGATCTGCAGAGGTGGCTTACAGTGCTCGATCTGTATGAAGTCCATACCCAGGCGGCCGGGCAAGCAAGGCTACGAGTGTCGCGACTGCCAATTGATATGTCACAAGCAATGTCACGTCCGTGCTCCACAGGCGTGTCCCAATCCCACGGTGCTCTCTATGGAACTGTAAGTTTATCATTTCAATTTCCGATCGCTGACATTTCACTCTAATATATCAATATATCAATATATCAATATTTATATATATATATCGTTTATATACGGTGGTTGGCTTTAGTAATTGAAATACTAATTTATTGTTTTTCGTTCTTTATTTCTCTCTTCTTTTAAATACACACACACACACAAACACACGCGAACAAACGTTTCCTTGACCTGCTCAATTGACAATTTAGAACCTCATATCCGGTACTCACAGAGCGAGATTTGACTCTATAGTTAACATAACTTACACTTAAATAGCCAATATGAAATACTTAACATCGAATAATATTCTTTATCTGTTTCTATCTCTATATCTATTGTAATTGTCCGCTTAATTGCTCTTGAATATTTATAACATTTTATTTGCAATTCTGTCATTATAAATTTGCGTTTCTTTTACTTAATTTTTATATTTTTTTCTTTTTGAGTTTTGACGTCAAAATTTGATTTAATTCGAAATTACGACTTTATTTTATTATAGCAGAGTTCCTTAGTCTGAATTCGAATATATTTATACATTATTCAGCGGCTTTAATATATTTACTATTATTGCGCATCCTTTTTACGCGTGTCCTACTCTAATGCCGTCGCTTTCTTACTATAGATTAAGCAATACACACATATACACACATATACACGCACACACATGTATGTATCGTCTACTGCATTTGCAGTTTACTCAGCTTTCTTTACATGCATCGATCACACACACTTACACAAACCCACAAACAGCCGCTTGTGTGCGTGTAGCACACATTCACAAGCATCAAAGCACACGTATCACAAACACACACACACATATAAGCAAGCATGCATGCAAATGCTCACATGGACACCATGAAACACAGCCGTTGAAGCTCACACACATAAACTACCATTAACTAAAGCAAACACACACATGCATAAATCTTACTTCATTTTTGTTTTCACACAGTTTTCTAACATAATTTCACACATTTTTCTATTTCACTCGAAACATGGACACAGGATGTTGATTGATCAGTAAGATTTTAAGCGCACAATTATATAAAAATAATGTTTCACAATAAGAAGAGCAGCAGCAGCAGCATCAGCATAAGTAACTAATAAAACACAATATATTTTGACGTCAATATCAGTTTATGTTCAACATTCAAGCGAAATATTTAGAGAGCAGAAAGAATATTTTTTAGGCCAATTATTCAGAACTTCCGTTACCGTTCACTAATTTTGGACAATGGGTAAGAACTGCAGCTGCACGCATGCTAACGTTCCAGTTAACAGTTAACAATTTACAGTAACAGCTTTTTAAATAACAGCCCAAAAAACCAATTTTACTTTCTGTTTATCGATAAATTTATCACTCGATTTGTTTCGACTTTTCGCTTGAAAAACGATTTTTCATATTAACGAGAATGGTTAATTTTTAAATAGTTTATTTTTACTGTTAAATGAAATATTTTTGTTATTTTATTTTTTTTTTTAATTAACTTTAATTTCGTTTACGGTTTCCATTAAATTTTTTATTTAGCTGCCGCCTGTAGTTCGTTGTGTTCTAGTTATCAATTAGTTTATTTGTTGTTTAACGTTAGTTAAAATGTTCTAAATAATAATTGTATTATTCGTGTCTAATGTATTTTTTTCCTTTCACAGAACGAAACTAAATCTAACTGCTGCGGATCTTAGCAGGAAATTATAAAGAAATTTACAATAAAAATACGAATCGAAATAATATATATATTTAAAACTAGTTTGCAATTTATACACATTGAGCGAAAGAGAAGTCGTCTAGAAATATTGAAATCCTAAACTCTCAGAACAGAAACAAAACAATTTGTAAACCTATAATCTATATATACTTAATTATGTTATTTATTTTATATTCGAGTGCAATAATTTGGGTTTATTTTTAAACTGTTTTCCTACCTTAACTAAAATTATTACAGAGAACTTGAATATTTTGTATTTTTACCATTACGAATAATAATTGTACAAATCTGAAAACATTTTTGAATAAAAATTGAATGGCAAAAAGCAAAGTAGCAATTTCATTGGTCACACTTAACTTTACACTTACCACTCAATTCAGTTGGCAACGCTAAGAGCTGAACAGCTGCTTAGGCAATAATCGAGCAAGTGTTAAGGTTGCTTACGCATATCGATTGCTGCTAACATTCCCAACTGAGCATAACAGCGGCTTTTGTTAACATTTTGAATGCCAATAAGCATTTGAACTAGCAACATTTTAAGGCAGCAAAAGTATTTGCTAGCATAGTTATCATATAATACCGTTTGATTTGAAACATATGCCAATGGGAAGCAAAGACAAAATTGGTTTATAGAATAAAAAACTCGCAAGCAACAATGTTCAGTAAGCAACATGTGCCCAAACATTACTCATAATTTGGCAACATTTTCTCAACATGCCATTTAACAGCGCCATTTGAGTACAAGAAACCTGGTTAAAAAATGTAGGTGCGCGCATTGTATTTGTATTTGTTCTTGCGCTGCACTCGTCGGTCGGTCGGTCGCGTATATTATTTGCGTTCTGTACGAGTGTGTTCAATTGTAGTGCGTAAAAATTATTCATAAAATTGAAAAAAAAATTAATCGAGTAAGCACGTGTGGATTTCAGTGCATTGATCGCATAGTGCTAATACCAGCTAATATTGGGCTGGCATCAACAACAGCAACAACAAATATCGCGTGCGTGCCGTGTTAGTAGCCAACAGAACGTCAGACACGCCTCGCGACTGCGACTGCGACGCGACGCGACATGGAATCAAAATCATACGGCCGAAAAGCAGCAGCAGCACAAAAAGCTGAAGCTGAAGAGAAGAGAAGCAAGCCGCAGTAGACTTTGCTGTCGCCGTTGCCGTTGCCGTTGCCGTTGCCTTGTTTTTGTGTTGTTGTCGCGTCGTCTGTGTGTGCGTTGTCTGCATGTGTGTCGGTCTATGATTACGTGTGTGTGTGTGCTTGCCAACGCCGCCGTGTCTGTCGCGTGTGTTAGTGCGATATATATTTCCAATTGGCATCTGTTTATATTTTTATATATGTATATATAAAATATATAAATGTTGAAATTTATAAGGCGACACACAAAAGTGGCCAGCAAATAATAATGTTAAAAAACAAATAAAATTAAAAATATTAAACGAACAATTTTTGGTCGTTTTCGCTGCCACTGGCCGTCGTCGTCGCCGTCGCCGCCGCTGCTACTGCCACTTGTTTTTCCACTTTTGCGACCGCGACGCCGATGTTGACGCCTCTGCCGCCGCTCTCGCTTTCTCTCACAGTGCAACGCCAACGCTGACGCCGTCGCGTTTATCATTATTTTGACTATCATTGTTGTTGTCGCTGTGGTTATTGTTGTTGTTGCTGTTGTTGCCGTGAACGCTTTAATTTCGCTTCGATTCTGTTCTATTCCGTTTTGTTACGAGCATTTCATGATTATTTCTGCGTGCAAAGAGATGACCAATATATTGTTATTTGTGTGCATGTGTGCATGCATGTGTGTGTTAAAAGCTAATTCTCGATATTAATTGAAATTCTAGTTCTATAAATACGGCCATTGTTAACGGTTACGCAACTTTCCATATAAAGCGCACAATATTTAACTTCGAAGAAGTTTTCAAATACCCAAGAGCCGATAACGGCCTCCCTCTATCCACGCCAACAACAAAAATGCAACAAATTCATAAATTTTACGATATTTGAAATTGATACAACATTTACCAACAACAAAAACAGCAGCAGCAGCAGAAACAGCAGCGGCAACGCCACTAACTAAAAGAACAACAAAATAAAAACTGAAAGAGCTGACAGAGACAGAGAGGCACAGAGAAAGAGATAGACACAGCAAAAAGCCAGCAGGCAGACAGGCAGGCAGGCAGCGAGCGCTGCTGCCTAGTGAATCGCTCTCGTCATGGCCGCTGCTCACAGTCACCACAATGCCAATTTGCTCAGCTCGGACATATCCCGGCGCAATCCGCAGGACGAGTACGATCTCATACAGAAAATTGGCTCCGGCACCTATGGCGACGTTTACAAGGTAAGTTTTTGCTCATATGTAATGCTCTGGGCTGCCAATTTGCCAGTTGTAGCACACAACCACACCCACACACACGCACACATGCACATGCACAGTGACTAAGCGCCACTTTGTTTAAAAGAATGAATTCCTCTCTATCTCCCTCTCTCTTTCACACACACACACATATAGACGCATAAAGACATTGCCAGAAGAACCAAATGAAAGCATGCTTGCAATTTAAAATGCATATGTATATGAATAACATATTAGTATCTATGTGTGCGTTAGTGTGTATTTGTGTGTGAACTCCACTTTGCCATACATCGACTTTTGTTTTGCTTCGCATTCCTTCTGTATTCGCTGCTGCTATTCCGTCTGCATGAGTGCACGTGCAGCAACCGCTTTTGGTATTCCTCTCTGCCTGTCCCGCTCCCTCCCCCAGTCATGCTCATTTGTACATCTGTTCATCGCATATCTAACCCCTTTGCTCCACTGTTCTTCCTCTAGCTTTGAGGCAAAATATGTGCAATATTTTCTGGCTCTTATTTTAAATTGTTTTTTTCTTCATATTTTGTTTATTTTGGTGCTCGTCGACATCGACACTGCACAAAATATGATAAATGCTGCTGTCAGAGCGAACTGTCCTTGCACTTTCAATAGGAAAGGTCGCTGGGGACACGCACACACACTCAGAGGGTGTGGCCATAATGCATTTCTGGCATAAGCCGCGCGTAATCCTCGCCAAGCGCAACGTATTCAAAATTGAAATTAGAATTTTGTTGAATCGCTTCGCCCTATCGCACTCTCTCTCCCACTCTTTCTCTCTTCTTTCGCTTTGAACTGCTAAAGTTGAAGCCACGCGCGCGCATTGATTATGCGGATTAATTTCCATATGGAATATATGTATATGTATGCATGTATTTATGTAAATACATGTGTATGTGTCAGTATGTTGATTTATATTTATATTTACTCATCTGCCTTGTACTGTGTACTCAAATGTCTGTGCGGGCTTGTATAGATATGTGCGTGTGTGTGGCTTGCATTTGCCTGCTCTGTTTTGCATGCGTCATGCGCCAAAGCCAACGGCGCATGCTTCCAATGCTCGCCGCCATTTTCCAGTCTTGACACATTTATTTATTTCCCCATGCGGAATTTGTTGTGCTCATGCTGGAATTTATGATGCGACACACACACACACACTATCTCCCCCTCTCTGTCTCTGTCTCGCTCTGTTGTCTGTGTTTCTTCAACTCAGTCTTCACTCTGTTTACAAGCAGATGTTCGTATAGCTCAGAAGCATTTGGAAAAACGTATGTTCTCTGTTTTGAGCTTTTATTGTTTAAGTAAAGTTTAAATGCACAACACATAAACAATGATGATCTAATGCAAAACAATTGTTTTTATTTTGAAAAGACTATTCAATAAAGCCCACAATTGATTCATACTGTTAGGTTGATCTGGCCCTATTTCACTCCTGGTTTGTCTATTTCCTTGTGGATTCAATTCTTGTTAAAAGTTTCTTCAAAGAATAAATAAAATTTAAATTCTTTTCAAATCAATTGAAATGGAAATGCACATTCTAATGTCTTCTAATTTCTATGTGGCCATTAGTCGCACAATAAGTAGGAAATTAATGCTATGGCAACAAGAAAAATCTTGGCCACCAAGCAAACAACGAAGCTGTTGGCCAAGAGGCAGCTTTTCATTATCGCAGCAAAATGGAAAAGCGAATAAATAAAACAAAGTCTACTTTAAGGCGTGAATACTCGATAACAAAACGGAAGCTGAAGTTATAGCAGGAAAACAAGAATAAGAAGAAGAAGCAGAAACAGAAGCATAAGAAGTGGAAGCAAGTGCCTACTACAGTTATGTAATGAAATATGGCACACACACACATACACATAGATGATTGCCTTAGCCAGGCACTTGACTTCGCACATTGTTGCCATTGTTTTTGTTGCTGTTGTTGTTTTTCCGCCACACATTTTTACAATCAGCGTCGTCATTGTTGAGCTTGTTGTTGTTGTATAAGGATTTGCTGAATTGTACTATGCGTAAACGTGGTTATACCAAAGGGGTATATTGAGCGCTCTGTTAATGCATAAGTAACTTATGAAGCAAATATATGATTATAAGCTCAAATAAGACTTACCTTGATTCAGATATATTTATTTATTTACATTATTTACCTATTTCAACTAAATCATAGTATGGCCAAGTATCTGGCAACTTTTGCTGCATACAGGGTATATAATTGTACGTCTGCTCTCAGCTAGTGCAACTAGTTTTTGTTCCGCACACGCAACACGCATGAAAACATGAAAAAAAATTGGCGCAAACCACTCAGCGAGAGAGGGAGAGAGTAACTGAGTGTTTGGCGGAGCAGGGATGAAGCGTAAATTACTAGAGAAAAGAATCAAGTGGTAAAGGGAATTGAAGACGATGAAGAGTGAAGAGTGCGAAGTAACGTAGTCTGCGGTGTGAGAGAGAGTTAAAGCAAGAATGCTAGATGACACAGCGAGTCACATAACATTACATAGAAATGTGTGTGAGTGCGAAAGAAATGCAGTGTGGGCATACCTACAGATTTATAAAAAATGCATTTGTTTTGATGCAAAAACATTTCCTACACTTTCCCTTTCTCCCCCTCTGGCTCTCTGCTGAAATTTGGACTCATTTGCCCAATGGCAACAAACAACTTTATTAAGTCAAATTTATAATGAGTAAAGAAATTGGGGGAGAAGCGAACAGAGAATCTGATTTAATGGGACGAAAATCAAACCAAAACAAACAAGCAGATGAGAAAACGTTTTACCCTCAACTATGGTTGGCTAAGGGCTGCTTTATGCAAATGGCCACATAACGTGTTTCCAGTTCAGCAATTGAACTAAGCAAGACGCTAGATTTAAATATTTAATGAAAAATCCTAGAATCCAGTTTACCCCGTCTCCAGCCACGTGTAGGCTGGCAAAAGAGCCACCCTCCACGCTCCACCCTCCACCCTCGTTTGCTTTATGAACAACAATAACAAACAGACGTAACAATCAACAACAATGGAGCACGGGGCAAACCCGACTGACCCAATTCTAAGTCGCAATAATTTGCACGTTTTCTTTGTTAAAGGGTTGAACGGGGCTTCAGCTGCTCCCCTCAGTCGGATGGGCTGTTGAGTAGTGAGCTAGGGACTGGGGTTGGCCCTCAGCATGAGAGCAATTAAAGCCACAGATTGCAACTGACTTCGGTCGAAGTGAATTCGTTCAAACTTCTCAGGTGTGCGTGCAGTCGTTTACGATTTAATTTCAACTCTATTTGGCCCCAACTAATTTACTTGCCGAATCAGCTTAAATAAACGAAATTTAAATAAAATACCCAAAGTCCCCAATTCTCTTTTCTCTTTTTTGTGCGCAAATCTCAAATCCCAGTTGTGTAAATATTGGGCTGCCCTGTCTGGTGCTGGTTGGAAAGGCCTGTCTTGACCGAGTGTGGGCTAGTCCCTTGTCTGCTCTTTGTCTTTCTCTCTCCCTCTCCCTTTGCCACTCTCTTTGTCTCTGTTCCAAGTTTAGCGCATATCAGAAATATTACACAGTTTGTGTCAAGCCCTTTGGTTGCTTCGCTCTTCGCCGACATCAGTGACTGTCCCCAAAGGCAAATAAAAAAGGTAATCTAAGCTCTTTTTTATACCCTAGAACGATCCATTGAAATTAGCAACAAGGCTATTTGGCTCTCTACGGGCAGAGGCTTTATCTCTGATTCCATATTTGATCAGGTGGCTATAAGGAAACATATCAGATGCACAGTGAATCTTCAGGATAATTCAGAATGAGAATAGAACTGATATATGTGAATCTATCTATTAAATTCATAAATGTGGTTTGTTTAAAATGTAAAATCGTGCAGATCAGGGTATCTGCTAGTCGGGCACTCTCAACTAAAGCATTCTCACATGCTTTTTGTGCCGCTTCTCGTGTTTAAAGTTGTTTAGAAGGCAACTAGCGAGAGAAGGCGCCAAAGTGGGGCTAGGCGGCAGGGGGCCAAACACATCCTTTGTATGTCATTTGCCTGTCGGCAACTGTTCGTTTTGAGTGGGCGTGGTCAAGGCTTGTTTTTTATGCGAATTCTTTAGTTTTTTATTTTATCAGTTTAGGCGTATTTGATTTACTAAAGCAGCAGCTTCAGCTCGTTGCGCCTAATGCTTGACAAGCTTTTGTTGTTGTTGCTGTAGCTGTTGTTGTCATCCTGGAGCTCTTGGGGTTCTTTCAATTTCGTCTTTGACCCATCACATTCATCATTATTGTCTTTCCTTGGCTGGCTAAGCAGGCGATTTCCATGGCAGCTGCTGAGGCTGTCCGGTCGTCCCATGTCCTTTGATTTCCTTGCCTATTCCAATTGCCTCTGCTTCTGTTTCTATTTCCGCTTGGCAAGGCGAAGGTTATTCGAATTTGGCATAAAAATTGGATATGTGCCAGTGCCGGAGCCAGTGCCAGTGTCGCAGCCGCAGTCGCAGTCGCAGTCGCAGCAACGCCTCCCCTGACGCTAGCTTGGGTTGCCGCTCTGTCCTTTTGGCAAAAAGGAAGTGTTTACAGTTGTTCGGCTCTTCAAATGTTTTGCTCTTAAGTTTGTTATTTGGCCAATTTCGCCATGTCATTTGCCGCGTACTGTCTGGAATTTCCCTTACATATGACGCTGCCAAAAACTTTGCCCTTTGCATAAGCAGCCAAGCCTTTTGGGAATCCTTCCTGGCCCCCACTCGTCTGCCTCTTTCCCATCCGTTCGGCCGCTGTTATTACGCAGTTGGCAAAAGTTTGCCGCGGATTACGATGTCTGCATGTTTCGTCTTTGGCCAAAGAATTCGCCTTATTAAAACCGTCAAAAACTTGAAAGGCTAAAAGGCACATATTTTCTATATGCTGTCGAGAGGGCGTGGCAAACGCCTGCGTTTCCTGCGAAAAAGTCAACGTTGCGCATGCGCATCGACTCAAAGTTCAGCGAACTACGAAATAAATGCCATTGAAGGG